AGAATGTATTTAAAAGGGAAGATCAAAAGCGATTAATAGATGAAACGCGGCATCACTACTTCAAATTCACACACTTTGGCACGTTCTTCCAACTGAAGTGAATTATTTTACTTTCTTTTTAATACCCTTTTAATATGATTGAAAGGAATATTATTCGTAAAGAATCCTAGAAAACTGCGTTTTCTCAACAAATCTGAAGTTGTCTAGCAAAAGTGCGATCTATTTATAAATCTAAACTTTAATTTTACTTTGATTTATAGTGAGAAGTAAATCATATCTCAGTCTCTTTATTCCAACAGAAACTTCAAAAATATATTAAACATCCTCCACAATATTAATAATATAACTCAAGATGATATAGTTCCATCTCACAAATATAATATTATTTACTATCATATATCATTATCATGTATATGATAATTCAAAATATGTAAATTTAAAAAATCGCATAACCTATCTATATACATAGGATAAATGAAATTTTGCTCGTTTTCTTTTTGTACGTAAAAATCGTACATATATTTCCTAACATTACATACCCGTTTAAGATGCACACACACCCTCTCATACATCCGTACAGAATCATCCATGACTCGCCATAATAATGCTCAACGATACTTTTCTCTCTCTTTATTTGTTGGTTGCAAAAGCAAAGGGATACATTTCTTACATTCTTACTAGCTCGGAATATTTTCCACTTTTGCGTTTCTTCGTTTTTTCATAATATTTTTTTATTCGTTTTTACACTACATACGGTGGAAGCTCATCATACGAACAACGTGGCGTTCTGTGCATGCACACCGATATAACAGTATCGAAAGCACGGATACAACTTCATTTCTTGTTCATACGACGACTTTAATTAATGAGTTTGTGCTTTATTGCACGACTCTTTTGTTTTTGATCTTTATCTCGTCTCTTGCTCTCTTTTTTCTTCCAGTTTTTCCTCTCTTTTTCCTTTTATTCGTGTATATGAGCGACGAGACTTTCTTGTAAAAGGGAGCAAAACGCACGCTGCACGCTGAATGAATTAACTATACTTTGTCAGGAAACTGCGTTTATCGTTATCGTTATAATGTCATTTTCGTACAACGTATACGTGTTTATTTTGTAATTTTTGCATCGTTATATATATAAAATTTCATTTCAAAATTTTATAGATCAGAAAATCGATGATATCTTGATCAGAGGCGTAATATTTTTCGGTATGATGGGAGTTTATCTTTTTCGTGTAAGTGATATAATTTTTTAGGAAAAACAAATTTTTAAGGAATGAAAGCCCAATGAAAGTTACGAGTAACTAGAAAAAATTACTGAAATTAAGAAACAAATAAAATTCTTCTAGCTAATTATCAATCGATATTGTATTAAATGTCGGTCATTAATATGTAAATATGTAAACAATTGTGATAATAAATTTTCATTTCACAAGAATAAACTGTTTTTCATTTTTGAATTTATTAAACATTGGGACATCCACGAAACGTATAATATGCTACCAAAGTGGATGAAGTTTAATTGGCAAAACTTATTCAAAAGTTTTCTAAGCTTGATAAAATCTTAAAAAGTACATTAACTTTGCATTCGTGTAACGATTACCATAAACTCAGTTCGTCTGTACAATTTTTTTCGTATTTATTAAATCTAACAATATCTTCAGACTTGTGTACTCCTAATCGTTGCTTAAAAATGTGAAATCATATCGCTACTTTATAATTGATTAGGGATATGTATTGGATTCATATAGGTTATTAATAATTGCCAATTTATTCCTTGTCCTCCTACGTAATACAAGAAACAAGAGAATAGAATGATATAATTTATATGTTTCCTCTCGATGATACCTACACCAACAGTGAAATTTCTTTTGAATATTTGCGTCCAAATTTTAGATATTCTAATGAAACGGATATGATGTACGAATAGTATATATGTATCTGGCATTTTTAATTGTATTTATTAGTATAGAAAAATTTGTAAAGACCCCAGAGGACATATTCCAAGATTTTCTGACACTTCAACAAAGAATCAAAATAACAGAATTAAAAACCTCACTAGAAACATTAAATGAAAGGAAAAATGATCAAGAGCTGTCGAACAACAAATTGTTAAACAATCTCTGCATGATTTCTTGGAAATCAAACTGCTCAATTCTACTTTTTGTTAATTTTTTACTTTCATCGCACAAATACACGATTCATTTACGTCAATAAGTTCATTCGTCGCAAGAAGAAGATATAAAGGATAGCAAATTCTAAAGTGAATTTAAAAAATAGTATTTGCAATATCATCGCTCCTTTTATCTTATAGAGTTGATCAATGTAGCATCTACGCACGATTCGCACATGATCCTTTGTGAACCGATGATGAGCAACATTTGCGTAACTAAATTTCATTCGTTCACATTTATCTCGGTTGTCTGATATCCCCGTCAACGATCATAATAATCCAGCGAGTCGGATATGAAGGGAACAGATTTTATTCCATGCCCTCCATATGCGTGTTCACACGTTGAAAAAAGACACGTGAATCCGTGAAACATAACGTGAAAAGGGACAGAGAAAAGTAGGGGAAAAACAAGGGTAGAGATGAGGATGGGACAAGAAAAAAGTAAACGAGCCCGGGGTTTAATAATTCTATCATTGCAACAGATCGGACAATTCGACAGACCGGTCGTCGAAGAGAGATAGAGAAGGCGAACATGCAGTGCTAACGAGATATCTCGTTAAGCCTAGAACGGACAATCGCACGGTGGAGCGAGCTGTTCGATATGACGAGATTCACGACGAGATCTTCGTTCTGCCGTTACGTTTCTCCGATATTCATTAGAATATTAATTTCACGTTCGTCAGCTCTGATACAATAACGTACCCCTGTTGGTCGACGTGCAATTGTACTCGTGACCCAAGTTTATCGCGGTACGACTAAAGGTTCGACTCGTTTCGCGGTCTGAATAAACAAGGAATCAGTCCGTCGATTTTTCTCCATTTGTTCAAGCGGTGTACGCGAGGAAAAATTCGAGTAGAAATTCGTTCGATAAATTGTCCAGCCGAAACAATTACCCTCTTTTTACCAAGTATTATTTGGTAACTGAAAGGGGTGATTAATTTGAGAGAATTAATGAGATGGAGAAATCAGAAAATCATTACTTTTTGTTTCGTTGTTTCTATTGATATTCTATTTGGCAGTAATTTGTAATCCTGTTTTTGATTTTATGCATGTTTCCTTTAAATAAAAGTTATTGTTAGGAGTGACTATAAAAAGCATTTTCGGATCATTGTATATATTACGTACTAATTAACTAGGTCCAACTATAATGAATTTCGTATTGTTTAACAATTCGTCTGAAATTACGCGTGAATTGATGAAAAAGATAATTTAGTAAGCCAAGCGTACTGTTTTTTCGGTTCTTTAAATGTTTTTCCTGTTTTCTTCGAGCGGTTTAGTTTTTATAGTCATTTACTGTATTTAACTACCTGGCACATTGGCGCGTATTTTTAAAACCACTTTAAAATACTTCTCTGGTCTGGTTCTTTTGTTGAAAGATCGTGTAAGTGGTGCTACATTAAAGTGTGGACTTATACACGTAGGTCAAGTGGATTACAGAGTAACAGGTGGATGGTGAAATTGCTCTAACGAGACGTGTCTTCTTAATTGGAGAGATAAAAATGCCTACCTCGGCGACGTAACGAATTTAAATCTATCGCTTGCCAAGCGTTTGCGTATTACTTGCAAAACGTGTTGTTTACAAATAACCAAAATTTAACCTAGTGAAATTATTCACTAGTAAAATAATAAATGAAGTGTTATAAAATGTTCGAAGATAAGATTCTACTAAAAGGTTTGTTAATAAAATTTAAATATTAGTTAAATACTTATTTTTCTGGATTGATAATTTGTTGTTCAGTTCAGCTTTCTAGAGAAAATGTTACACATGGATAGAAAAAAATATGAAAGATTAATATTTAGGTAGAAGTATGATAATTGAAAATTTTGTAATAAATAAATACAAAATGCGGACGCTAATTGTTTACCATTCTAACTTCTGTGTTTTGCAAATTTGCTTTAATCAGAAGTTACGAATTTTTAAAATTCAAAGAACTAATAACAAAGTTCGAATAAATAACAGTTTTTCACTCAAGTCGGAATGATGCGATATATATTTTGGTCCAGCATAATGAATTATCCAATTTTAGATAAAAATGTATAAGGCTCGTACGATATTTTTATCAGTCCTTCAACGATGAAGATCATGAAGTTTCGTATAAAATTCTTCTAATTCAGTTAAACTTGCTTTTACATTACACGATACTTAGTACTTTCAAACTAGGCAAATACGTTGCGAAAAGTTGTAGAAAAAGTTAAATCCAAGTAAAATGAAATATCAAAATTTGTACAAGTTGTATATGAGAAGTATGTAAGAAATATTTTGCTCGAAATACGTCGAAAAATATTTTCATATCGTTTTGTGATCTTATTTTATAATATCCACGATAAATATATAAAAAGAAAAAATTCAAATAAAGATAAGAAACGAATTGTAAATAAATAAATGAAAATAACATTTTCTAACCAAAAATGAATAAAATTCAAAATGAATACTCGGTAAAATATTAAACCAAATTAAACCAAATTAACAAAAATTAAAAATGATAGAATTTTAAAACTATATAACATGAGATAGAAATCTGTATGTATCATTACTTACCGAACGAACTCTTCAAACAGATACAACCTCTTTCGATTCTAATTCGTCAGCTAGATCCGGTAGTGTATCATCGATGGAGGGATTGAACAAATGCAACGATGAGATATCAACACAAACTTGTTACTAATCTTTCCGAAATCAACTTGCTTTCTCTCTGTCGACGAGTATAACGCAGCACAGAAATCGATATGCATCGACACACGGGAAAAAAAATGATCGACCGTCGTCGTTGAAGTAAACGCATGATTCTTCGTTCCTTCTGTATTCACGTGTTTTCTTTTTATAGTGTTCTTTACGTCAAAGCGAGCAGTTGGGACAATGTTATTAGAAGAATACAAGAGGCGGGTGGTAAAATGTCGTTTGAGGACGTCGACGAGGTTGCGTCGTCGCTGTTGAAGAATGGTTCCAAGGTTGAACCCGTTTCCCGTAAAGAGCCTTGATACACGTTAGTCAGTCTGTGATCTCGATCGTTGACCGCTTCGTTCGTGTCACTGTCCAATCTTCGGTCTCCCAGTTTCTTCGAGTGTTTCGGTAGATCCATATCTGAAATAAACGAAATCATTTTAAATTGAATTAATAAAATTTTTCATTTTTCTCGGTTTTATCGAAGAGGACGAAGTTTAATGGAAAATATCGCTCGTCAGATTCTTCATCAATAATAGGAAGAATATAGTGTACTTTTTAAAAAGATATTTAAGATATTATACAAAAAATGGAAATTTATAAACGTGGACTTGAGATGGGTTTACACACACACACACACACACAACGGTATTTTCATGTTATTAAATTTTACTTATAGTATGGCTATATATTTTCTTGCTGCAGAAATTATAAGTAGTGTTTTATCCAAAGCTAGTGGTATAGTACGGTACATGGTCAGAAATCGCGCCACGCATTTGTGTACTCAATTAATAGATTGCAAATCTTTAATCTGAACTCTATTTCTCTTAAATTTCGATATTATGCAACGTATAATATGTAATTAAATTTTGTTCGCGTAAAAAATTCTTTACTCGTGTAAGCAATATTTCAAACATGTGCTGCATAAAAAATTGGCTACACGATACGTTTCGGACTAACGACACGCTTGGTAGTTAGTGGGACAATTTAAGTGACATCAGACGCCATACACTCTTTTTTTTGCACATGCATAACTTCGTGATAGAAACTATACCAGGGTTGTGGAGTGGAGTATTTTCACGCTCGACGTCACATTACATAGGAGGCGGTATTGGCGGAAAAAGAGGAAGCAAGAATGCATCTCTTTGACGAGGAATTTCTATAGTGGATTCAATTTATACATGTATCGACATGTACTCTACTAACACTAATATCTTCTGGGCATCTCCGTGCAACTGTTTACATGCGATATTAAATTTGTGCTGCGGTTTCATAAAAATACTTCAGTTTTTACATCCCCTCCCCTACGGCGAAACCGTGTAACTTGTTATATTAAAATTTCTTTACGATTCTATTGCTTCGTTGTTGGAAAATTTTTGTTTCCGTCAGCGTAATTTCGACTGTCGGGAATTAATTCTAAATGGATCGCGTTTATCTTTGGTTTTTATTTAAATTATCAAGTTTCAAAAATTCACAGTATATAAAAAATAATTGCAAATAATATTGTAGTATCGTAACTACTTTAATTAGTTTATTAATGATAAGTAGATTGAACAGGTGTTAATTGAACAGAGAATAATGTTTGTTAAATATGAACTAATCGCAGCAAACGTATAATAATTAACACAACTGAATAATTAATCAACGACTCTCATCAACGCAATCCGCACTCTCTGACATCTCAACTTATACTGTTATTAATTCGTTCTTTGTCCCCTAGCAACCCCTTGTCTTTTGTCCTAGCCTCACTACATACATGCTCAGCAACCGCTCGTTTATAATTCACACGACACCCCCCAGGCCCCTTATCCATGATGCTACAATATTTGCAAATATTCGGTGAAAAATGATAAAATTTAATAAATCAGTTAGTCTCTGCGTAATTATTCAGAGCTTTGAAATACGAATATGAGGATAGTTATATAAAATATGGAAATATAAATACAGTTTTATATAATATTTTTACTGATTCGAACGAGTATACGATGAATGTCCTATAGGACGTTCTCACCAAAATATATTTAAAAATTTGAATTTCATTTTTATTGCGATTCTCGTGTCGATAAAATTTCAGACGTACACATAAACTTTCTGATATAAAATGAAGATAATAAAAATGAAAGAAGTTTCTCATTTGAATTATAGAATTCTTGATGACTTCATGCTTAATTTAAAGAAATATCAATCGATCATATAATAGATTGATACTAATTATATACATATTAATATTCATCTACTATTTCTAATAAAATAATTCTTCAAAGCCTTTATAACTAGTAAAGAAACAATTTGTTCAAACTATCTTAAGAATCGTCCGATGTTCAGGTAAAAAAAAGAAAGGAAGGAAAAAAACAAAAAGAAACTGCAATCTTCCATCGCGATAACGCAAGGGCCATGTGTTGCAAAATTGACACACCAGAAATTGGAAAAGGCGAAACGGGAAGTTTCGTCGCTTCCGCCGTACTCTTTCGATATTGTTTTCTAAAATTATTATATACCCCAAGTAATTCACCGAAATTACGAAAATACAAAAGCAAGCAAACCAGTTTTCTCCCTTTATTTAGCGAGGGGAGATAAAGCAAGAATAAGGAAATTCGTTAAAGCGACATTTCATTTGCAACTTTTTTCAATTAATCTAAATAATCGAATTTTGTTTCTTAACATCGTGTCTACGAAAAGTAATGTCACGAGTTCGCTTAATACTTTCCTCGTCACCATTTCTCTTACCTAGATTCTATAACTCTTCTTTTAAATAAATTATAACATTATGATAAACTATATTGTATATTATTTGATCCTTAATGACTTAATTACACACAATAGATTGATCTTACAAAAACGCGAAGTCGCGAAGAAAAACTCTTTGCATCCATCGTTGTCGTTGAAAACTGGAAGATATCCTTAACGTTATCATCACGACCCTTCGGCAAAGCCATCAAGATACGAGTAGAAATGGCGCACGTCTTGCGGCATAACCGCTTCCAAAAAAGTGGAACCCATTCTCGGTTCTATCCTGCATCGAAAATTTGCCGGCTGGCGCCCGCAAAAAGCCTAATCGACCAAGCAAAGCGTAACGAGCAATTTGCAGGCCGGATTCAATTTATTGCGTATACACTTCCGCGATCGGATCTGGCCCCGGACAGATGTTGCGGGGCTGGAAGCTGAAAAGAAGAAGCAGGAAAAAGAAATCGCGAGAGGTGGTGGAACGCTCGACAAAGGGGCACGAGAAAACGAGACATTGCCACAGGGTGGAGGAGAGGAAGGCTGGAACGAGGGGGAATGGAAGGGTGAAACGTGCGGCAGCTCGTCGAAATAGCAGTTTAGCACTGATAGCACTTGGCGGACTTTTATCGATCATGTCTGGCAACAGATGGCTCACCCAATTCCCGGCGGCGCGTTTTGTCTGGCCGGCCTGATAAACGATAACTAATACGGAACAGAAGAAGCAGCAGCAAGAGAAAAGGGAAGAGAGATGTAGCGTTGGGGTAGGATGGGCCGGCGGTTGGATATTGTTTCGCGGACTTTTAGCCCTTGACGTGACGTGCCAACATCTCTCGCCACTGTCGTCCCACCCTCCTCTATGCGATGCTTCCTGCTACTGCTATACTCCTATATATCCTCTCCTTCTCCATCTGTACCCTCTTTTTTCTCCTCGTTTTCTCTTCTAGCCAGCCTCGATCGTGTCTGTTGTACAGGGTGTGCCACCCACGACCGCATCTCTGATTTACTATTCTCCTCTCTGCAGACATGCTTGTGGTTCTTTGTCTATTTGATTGTTCGATTTGTTCGTCCATTTGTATATTTGGAGGGTTTGAAATCATGTTCGTATAACTCGGGTATTACCGTTATATTTTTACAATTTAAAATGGCGTTTCGTGCGTATTAAATAAGCTAACATATAATAGCGTAAATGATGCGGCTTTTTTTAGAGTTGAGTTTAATAAAACGATAACGAATTACTTAGTTTATATATTAAATATTAAATGCGCACTGATATGCGTTTATTCAAAATTATCAAAATAAATAAGAATTTCTATACTTTTATGTACATCATAGTAAAGAACGTTCAATTTCTTTTCGATTTAAAAATAAAGCATCGAATAATGTACTACTCTGATGAATATTAGTTTTATTCCTAGTGTAAATGATAAATCATTCAGTATTCTGCGATCCATCTTTTATCATCCTATGTAATAGATATCGTTACTAATTCAAACTCTCCAGTTTCCAAATTACAAGTTTATCAAATGGTCTAAGCGACCACGGTACAACAACCGGGAGAAGTATGCTTCCTATAGTTCACTTTAACTCATTAAGATTCTCGGCCAAAAATATTTCAAACAATTATCAAACTATTTCAATCATTGCATCCTGCTCTCAGCTTGAAACTTAGCCAGAATGTTGAACACAATTGACCTGTTATAGGTCACAATCAGACTCTGTGTTCAAGTGTAAAATTCCACCCGTTACGTTTCTCTGCTTTCTTTTCTCCCGTCGTTCTCTTCACGCTCCGTTTATACCTTCGCTTCGGTTTAACGGTTAATCCCCCGGGTTTATCTGATCGCGTGACTTCAACGAGAAGTTGGAGCACGCCGCGCGAGCCAGGACAATCTTTGCATACACACTCCCCGTGGACGATAATACACGCGTCGGCTTTGTTAGTTTACACGGCTTACGCGATAAAATTTCCGTCATTAAATGCGGGGGCGTAGTCGATTCGCGCGCTGATAATGGACTGTGTGTTACAGTGATTTCCTTGTAAATACTTAAACTCGGTTTTACTCCACTTGTTACGTCTTTCTGGATATCGTCTGATTCGCGCCTGAACGCCCAACGCGCACCGCGTGCCTTCGTCACGGCAACCATAATCATTCTCTTTCATCTCTTTTAGATTGAAATGTTACACAGTTAATATTTTTCCTCTGTTTTTCTTTTTGAGATAAACATTGATTACGATAACACATAGGACGTAGATAAGTACGATTATCTTGAAGTTTGAATTTTGTTTCATAATTTCGTCCCTGTGGATTTACACCATGTAGTTCGTCGTAATAAATTCGATCATTTTAAAGTTGCAGTTTCATTATACAACATACACGTGCAACATACGCGTTGTCCTGCGCAACTTTTATTCGAAAATTTATATTGCTAAGTACGGCCAGCAAACAATATGTCGTGACAAGTTGCACGTTTATTTGGAAATGAAATTCCCTTTTTGAGCGCACTCGGGATTTTTCATCGTACGAAACAAGTGGGACGGAAATGGCTAACGAAATTTTATATTTAGAAAATTATCACTCCGCCGATAATTATGCCGATGGGTTTACAAACATTTTTTATTGCTGACCTACTCAAGATAATCTAGAGTATTTGATCAACTGGAAAGTTAATGAATTTTGTAGATATTTACAGGATCATTATTAGTATGTTTTATTTAACATTCTTTCATTGGACTTTAATTTAAGTTTGAAGAATGAAGTTTCGAATATACGATAGGTTTCGTATTTATAACACGTACGAGCGTAATTATATAGAAAATTTTAATACGCGAGTTTAACCGTAACGATTATATTCATAAACTTAGCTCTTCGAAGTAATGCATATTGTTAACTCGAAATTATCTTTCTCCATCAATCGTTCCATCAGATTAGAGAGGATTTTGACACTTTCATTCCGTGTATATTCTATATTATATCGAGATAAAATATCGCGACACTTCTCTAAAAGTGTAGTAGAATACGTCCCTCGCTAAATTGCAAATTACTATTCAGCCAATAAAACGTCAGCTTTATTTTGTTTAGAATAAAAATCTATCGTTTCGCGGCACGATACGAACGATATATACGTGTGACATTGTTTTTGCTTGCCGATAGTCGAACGAACATTTCCGCGTTGGGAGTCGCAACGAAACAAATTTGGATTTGCGTTAGAGAACTAAACCGGAGCAGACGATAACCATCGGTTTCGCAAAAATAAGCAGCTTGGCCAATTTCAACCCGATACTCCAGCTATTACGCTCAAATTAATAATCAATGCTAATTGCCATTGTCATTAGGTGAACGACCATTACACCATATATATCGTGAATAACTATGTCATACGATCTACTTTGTCTGCGTTTTCCGGTTAACCGAGAAATTTTGCAGAATTCAACGAAATTTATTCGCTGCTGCTTGTTTCAAGAAATATCACATTTTATTTCTATCATCGGGAATCGTTATTATTCGCGATATCTCCCGTATATCAACAATGCGACTATTTCAATTATTCTGTACGAACATTTATCTTTGATTTGCATGTAAATTGTTAACAACGGTTCTGAATAATCCGCATACGCCGTGAAACCTGACAGTTTGACGTATACGCGAATTATTATTCTTCCACGTGTTGGTTTCCTACTTTTTCATAAAATTGTTGCGCGATAATATAACTTTGTATCGCATAATATTATAAAACTTTGAAAGCAGCAATGAGAATTTATATCAGTTTTTATAATAATGCATAATTACATTATGATACGGAAGGTTTAGCGCAGAAATGGGACAATCGCATTTTGTTCGGTAAACAAGAAAAGTATAGAAAGCAAATGTTTTTTCGCATGATAATAGCGGCAGTCGTTAATGTTTTAATGTTCAGAAGTGTAGGGATGATAGAGCGGATGACTGTTACAGGAGACTGAACTATTATTTTATTGCTAGCTAAGAAGAACGTTCGCTCATACTCGCTGTACCGTTCACTTACACTAGCTGGCAAAGACTCTTTTGTCTTCACGCAGGCAGTCGCTGTAAGCACACACATACACACACCCACACATCCGCATGCATATCCCTTTTGGCCTAAGCCAACGTGCCTCACAAGGATTTCACGTGACCACCAACACGTCATCGCCTGCTGACCTTAAAGCTAAGCAGACAACTATGGGCGGTCGGTTCTCATCACCCATAGCTCTGTTCCCGCGAACTATCTACGATGTACCATTTATCCTAACTTATACACTAACACCATAGAAGCATGAAGTTTTTTCTATTAAAGTCTATCTTTACGCATAGTATTGTTGAACTAATGATTTTATCTTTAGAACCGCTTTTTCTCTAGATTCTTTATGTGTGATTTAATCGTATGCATATTTTCATTTTTAAATCAAATACGAATTTAATTTGTTAGTTTTCATTTATTAGATTTTTGATTAGATTTAATTTAGAATTTAATTTCTAGGTTTCTTTACAAAAATATAATCCTCGTTGTATACATTGATAGTGTAGATTTCTTTGTTTTTTTTTTCTATTGTACATTTTTCTGATTGAAAGCAAATAATGGCATATTCCTTTCTCCTCGATGATCCATAATAAACAGTGATTAATTAGCAATTAAGATAGAAATATAATTTTATTTTATTTATACTACGCTTTGTGTTGACTCTCCTCAAGCCGTACTATAATTTTTATCACATTGTCTCTAATTAAGCGAGTGTAACGCAACACATATATGCGATCCAATTAACATTGGATTGCGCAGAATCGCGATTTCGTGAGACACGTTTACCATATAGAACGTATTAAAAGAGAGAAAAGAAAACGAAATAATACTAATAAATAATTTTTCTGAAGAAGAATTTGTAATTTGAATATAATTCAATAAGCGAATATTCCTTATTTTATTTTTTTAAATAAATGTGAAAATTAAGAAAGCTGAAGTAATACATTCCAATGTGTATAACTGTTAATATTATTCACCTTTTAATTCACATTTATCATCGCTTCATCTTTTTATCTCGTAATTAACAACACCCGGCCATCCTTTAGAAGTCCGATATTCCTTGCGAACTTTGTTTTGTTCTCTTTTGTTAGCATTCCTAACGAAATTCCGTTTATCGAAACAATTTCATATAAAAAAGCCGCGCATATGTGTATTATGGGGGCGTGCCTGTAGTCGCGAAGAAGAAAAATTCTTTTTGATAGGTAAACATAAACGGAGGTAGAGGAAGAAGTTGGAAAGCACTGAAGTTGAGAGTTTGCGATCCTCGTAAACGTATTATCCATGAGAACTCACCGTAAATTCGAATGTTTCCCTCTGCGTCGCCGATCGAGTTCTTTGAGATGCACTTGTAACCACCGAGATCCTGTTTCTGTAGATTCATAATTACCAAGCGCATCTGTACACTGTACACGGATGTCTTCACTTCTGACATCGAGTATTTGTGATTGCTAATTATCATTTCGCCTGAGACAGAAAAAGGATTTATATTTTTAAAAATTACCTGCTGAAACATCATACAAATTTTCAGTACTTTGGACGATCATAATTTTATTTGTACGATTATAGCATTAAATAAATAAATGTATAAAGTAGGAGTTTCTAAGTTCTTTCGTAATCACGTGAACACAAACCATCGTCATATGGTTGTTAGCGCGTAACGTACAACATTTACACGGATAATTTTCTCTATATACACACGAATGTCTTTTCGTAGCGTGTGCATACTACAAAAATTGCTCCACGTATTTTCTTTTCTTAAACTAAAAAATTATTCAAGCATTAATATCTAAACTACGAGAGGAACGCCAGATTTTATTTTTACTAGAAATAAATGGATTTCCAACGTATACTAAAATACGTCAAGCGTCGAACTTTATATGGTTTACTATAGAAAAATTGTTAAGGCATTTCAATGGTAAACAAATACCAATTAAACAAAGGTAAAAGCACTGTTCTTTTTTCATGGTTCTTTAACATTTTAAAATAATCCGTATATATAACTAATTTTCGCGAAACAATTTTATATAAAACGTACCAAATTGTGCTAACTTCGTTCCACAAAACGTTACACCATAAGAAAGTAAAGAAAGTGTCCTAAGGATCCCGTAGAATGGGAATTTTCGAACCGTACAATGCTCGGCTTCGCTTCGCATTTAAATTTCTGTACGTGACTTATCTTCGTGGCTCGCCAGCGAACACGCTTCGGCGAATTATTATTTTACTCAGCCAGCCAACGAAAATTCAGTTTCCATCGCGTGCGATTTAATAAACCTATCTATCGATTCATGTTCTTCGACTCGAAAAATAAAATCTTATGTCTGGTTTTTATACAGTGGTGAACAAAGGAAAGTTTAAAATACATCATAATTTGATAAAATTAAATTATGTCTAACAAAGGAAGAAAACAAATTTGACAAGTGCAGTGTGAATGAACTTTGGATATTTATACATATTCGTATTTTTACAAATAGTAACAAAAGAGAAATATTTAAATAAAAATGTGTCGTATCATTCAGATAAGTTATTATATGTATTTTATTCTTGATATTTACATAAATATTCTTGCACATTTATACTCGATATAAATACATGAACAACAATAATTTAATAGTAAATAATTTGTCCATATTAAAGTAGATGGTAATTATCAATATAATAAAGAATTTCTAGTAAATACAGAATTTACTAATACTTCTATGTACAACTGTCTTTTGTTCAGAATTGCTTCCTTCTAGAAGCTATTTCGTTAGAACTATAATACTCTACAGCTTTAGTAATATTTTTCGAAATGAGGAATAAAACTAAACGACGGTGGAAACAGTTAATTGAATCTTACCTGATGCGCGTGTCCAATAATTAATGGCCTTCGGAGAAGCTTCGACGAGACAAACCAGCGTTACGTTGGTTCCAGTTGGCGCGCCGACTAGCTGGTTTGGTACTTGAACCATCGGGTGAACTGCAATTTATCGCGACGCCATTAATCAATGGCCGAACATAAAGTATACGTATATGTAATAATTATCGGGCACGCCGCGATTTGTCACCTGTCATTGATACGGTTCAATGAAATGTAACGCGCCGACACGTTCGGGTTAAAGTAAATTCGATCACGTGAAATTGCGTACGACGATCGTCGGATTTCAGGAAATTTATTTTCGATATGACGCTGTTTGCACCCCACCGATACATACTGATAGAAAATTCAATAATTGTGGAATATAAGTAGCCTTTTCTAAAGTTGAACTACAGAAAGTGGCTAATATTAAATTCCTAACGTGTATTTATTTTTGTTCTATCCTCGGCGAGAAGACCTGATACTGTCTTAATAGAACCTGTTTCATGTGTTTAACAGAATATATTTAAATTCTCTTGCAAACTTATATCATCGTAAGCAATATAACGAGACTCTGAGATACTATTTAAAAAAAAGAAATATTCATATATTATCCTATATACATATATCATTTATACACATTTACCTCTGTTTTGGTACTATTTCGGAATTTTAAGTACAAACTGTCATTTTTTATAACACCATCTCTCATTCTGGTCCAAAGATTTCTAGCCACCGAAAAGTATAAAGCAAAAGGAACAATGAAAAAAGATATTACATAGACAAATCGCTATAAGAATAAACGAATGTACTGCTATCTCGAAATTCCTTTATTCTAATAGTTCCTTTATTCTTCCCTATTAATTCGCAGATCATAAGTTCTATTATACTAATCTACGTATTAAAGAATCAACTATATCCAAAAACTATTAATCACCAAACATACAACTTTTCTTTAAATTTCACCGTGTTCGTCACCTCCTCAGCCACAAATCTACCTATAGCACACATTGCGTCACGCAAACTACAAGAACGCAAAGTACGTTGCATCGCGATACGAAGTCGCGCAATCGTAATTTCAAATTTCTACCAGTATATTCCTCATTTCCAACAGACTTTCAAATCTGCGTCAACTTTGCTCGCACTACCACTGACAGAAGCTCGCGATATAACGCAGGACTCGAGGTCGAATTAAATATAAGACAAGCATTTGTTACAAAGTTACTCGAAACCGTGTCACACGCGTAAGAGTCATTTTCCCGATGAAACGCAGCTGGATCATATTCATTCTGTACAATTGCGCCATGGTACAGTCTCCTCTCTAATAATAAGAGAGTGAGAGAGAGAGAGAGAGAGAGAGAGAGAGAGAGAGAGAGAGAGAGAGAGAGAGAGAGAGAGAGAGAGAGAGAGAGAGAGAGAGAGAGAGAGAGAGAGAGAGAGAGAGAGAGAGAGAGAGAGAGAGAGAGAGAGAGAGAGAGAGAGAGAGAGAGAGAGAGAGAGAGAGAGAGAGAGAGAGAGAGAGAGAGAGAGAGAGAGAGAGAGAGAGAGAGAGAGAGAGAGAGAGAGAGAGAGAGAGAGAGAGAGAGAGAGAGAGAGAGAGAGAGAGAGAGAGAGAGAGAGAGAGAGAGAGAGAGAGAGAGAGAGAGAGAGAGAGAGAGAGAGAGAGAGAGAGAGAGAGAGAGAGAGAGAGAGAGAGAGAGAGAGAGAGAGAGAGAGAGAGAGAGAGAGAGAGAGAGAGAGAGAGAGAGAGAGAGAGAGAGAGAGAGAGAGAGAGAGAGAGAGAGAGAGA